ATAAATGCATACAGGGGTCTATATAAATGAATACCCCTGTAACACCGGGGTGACAGGGTAGTGCATGTATGAGGTTGGAATGTTTGCTTGTGCGCAACTATGCCATGTACGAGAGCGAGGCGAAAGACTCGAGGTGTCTCTAACAAGGAGGCGTCCACGGCGCCCCACCATGTAAATCCTCCCTCGTCCCCGGAAAATAAAGGATTGCTGTAGCTCAAGTCAGCCCCACTAAAGACAAAGTTTTTTTCATCGGATTCAGAATTCCAAAACAGACTATAAGGGATAGTGGCAGATGAGTTATTCAATATGCATGCTGTCGCTAAATGGATCACTTAGATAACCTACGTTATTTTCGAAGCATATGCTTATTTCGTGTTTCTATTTTGGAATGCCTTTCCCCAATGGCATAAGTCTACGACCTGCAAATGAAGCAGCAGCTATGTACAACGCATCGTACAATGCGTTGTACGATAGAAAAGCTCGAACCGCTTAGTCCATTATTTTGCACGAAAGATTTAAACAGTACTGGGATACAAGTGTGTCATATGCGTCTGTGTAGGGGGGTGCTTTTATATTTGCAAAGAGGATAAGTTACTAATTGGCTGTGCGGATCATATTTGGATTTTTTTAAACCATTTAGTTCTAGTTAGCTAAGGTAAGTATTTACGTCTATAGGCAAGTCTGCGGAACACAAAACAATATTTTGTTAAAGAACGAAGGAGAGATATACAGGTTCCGCTAACATTGACTAAGGAGAAGAGCTGTTTTTTTACCGGATTCTGAGTTGCAAAAAGTACGACGGACAGTAAGAGATGAGTTATTTATTATGCACGCCCTCTTTAAATACATCATTCATCATGAATTATTTTCCCTCCAAAGCATATTCAAACTTTAAAGAACGTGCGTTCTATTTCTAGAATTCTCTTGCTATTTTCACTGTAGTGACATTAGGGCAGCAAAATGTCGTAACCGAAATATGCACATACCCGGCGTCGAACCAGGTGGCTCGTTTTGAATTTGACAATTGTCATCGCAAAGCAGACCATGAGCAGGGCCAGGAAGTTGTCTACACCACATTTCGCTGCAGCCTCCCAGATGCCTGCCGCCGTCGGGGAGAGTGGGTTTTCCAGTTTGGGCAATGTTTGCGGAATATTCTGTAAATCAGAAAAGCCTAATAAATAAGACACAGGACGCAAATCCAACTTTTAAAAACGAATATGTTCACCGTTTTCTTAACTTCAATGACTGCGTAATGTTCAAGGCAAATGGAACATAATGGAAGAGCGTGGTTGCTAACTGTAGGTTCGCAACGGGACATTTATATTAATCGAGGATATGCTGGATGTCCTACCACATTTGCTTATATTTTCCCCACCGCACTACTCTTGTAAGTATATTAGAAAACGGGTAATACTTATTTGGAAAAATAAACTAACATAAATGAACAAGCTAGGGCTCATGTTTTTAAGTTGTTTACGTCTTTAGTAATAGGCATGCACTATGTGAATGGGTATATACTTGATCGCTAAGGGTTGGTGTTTATGAAAATAGAGGATGGATTTTTGAAAGAACTACATTGACTCTGGAGATAGTATATGACCATTCTGAGAAGGTGAACTTAATCCAGGTTTACTTACGCTGAGCAAAGAAAACATGGCTTTGATTATGAGGAAGCCTGAGATAAATGCACTGAATAGCTCCTCCATCGACTTCTTAGCATGCATTGCCAATTCGGAGAGATTGAGCGACATCAGAATAAAACCCATGATGATCGCGTAGATGAGAACCCACGATCGGAAGCACCAGTAATCCATGTTGATTTGCGTTGCCTCCTGTATAGCGGAAAATTAAATAATTGTTTTAATGGTCCAACGGGAGTGCCAAACTGAAGGTTTGATAGCTGGTCTAGTTACGCAGATTGATGAGTAAGGTCAGTCAATTTCAAAAACAGGCCAATAGTACAGGTTGAACAGAATATTTGAGAAAAGATAAAGGGGTAGCGCTAGCGAAACGGGCGATGCAGACGTCTTTCTAACCTCACGATTCGCAAATAATTTCGAAATACAAGCCTGTCAACTAGATCCTACACATTTTGACGGACTATAGGTCAATATAGGGGAAAAATAGCAAAAACTGACGTAGAAGATTTAATTGCGACTGAAAGACACAGGCGAGGCTTATTTATATACTATCAATAGTAAGCTGTGAGCATATTCAGACCGGAAGCAATATACAGTCCACATTTTGCTGTAAATGAAAAGGCAACTTCAAGTTTACACAAACACGAATACTGTTCTTGTCAATTTTTTCCATTGGCTGACAATATAACACATTCACATTTGGCATTATTGGTTACTTTATCGCATGCAAACTGAAAGCTCAGACAAATAAAACTCCAATTTCGGTGATCGAACCTGCTTCTTCTCAATCTATGCTATAACTTAATAAAAAATAAGGTTATCAGCGCCCTGAGTGAAGGACTGCCATGCATGAGAAAGTTTGGCATTCACGTGTTTGTCATCAATTCTGAGCGATAAAAGTTTGTCCTATAGACTAACCAGTTTTAATGGCAAAATATGTATATGCCAAGGGCCAGCAAATTAAATAACATGGCACCAGAATGCGTTTTTTCCGAGGATTCATTTGTACGGATAATGTTTCGCTGACAATGTGTACGTCAGTTATACTATTTGCAAACTCCACGGTCACAATCCAAACTTCTTTCTATAAACTTAACAGGTAGGAACAAAGTAAATAGTTACACTAAGAGCAATCCAGAGATGCTTAAGTATAGTTCTTTCTCAATCTGGATTTTCTGGGATAAAACCGTGCCTACCTAAACTTTTATTATGGACGCACACAGGACATCCTCTGGCACTGAGCATTGTACTAACACAGAAATCTAAATTATGATAGCGATTGGAAGACAGCTGCTCGTAGAGTATTTTTGTGGGGCCCTTTTGGCTAATCAAAAGGATGATTTGTTTCGCTTATCGTAGCATCGTCATCTGTGCCAATGTATACGGTGCCGCCTGTTTCTTATAATTGGACATATGACTCCTCTCCTGAATAGTTTTTATTCAGTAAGTAAAATATTAACACTTATAATAGCCATCGACGCTGCACAGAGGACCATTTAACAAACTGTTACAGTGCCTTAATGTCAAATTTAGGATTCAAAACGATAGTACATCCAAAGACTTGATTTTAACTATAGCCAAAGTGTTGTCTACAAGTTCGTTAAATCTAGAAACCTCGCACTCACCCTTGCAACGAGTTTTTCCATTATAAATCCAGGCCCCGATGGTCCTATAATAGCGATAGGTTGGCCGGCAAACAGACTGTAGATTATTGTCTGGAAACCGCTTGTCAGGATACTGTTTGACACTGAGTATGCTGGGTTTACTTGGGTTGCTAGAAGGTTAAGTATTGAAAGGGTAAAATACACACAAACTAGCTTTTGAAAAAAGATGATGATGGAAATGGCTAGACGTGTTTATTTACTTGGCGTTACTAATCCCCTTAAATTTAATTTAAACGCCTGTTATTAGACAAGATATAAGTTGTTTTGTCGTTGCATTATTTTTTATCCTCCTTTCATGGAAGAACCTCAGTCATTACAATGGTATCTAGGAGAGCACTTCAGAAACTTTGTACATGTAAGCAAGATAATTTGATGGCTTAACAGATAAAAGCGTCTTATGAGTAAAGTTATCAACAGCTGCCTACATCGTTATGCCAGCTATATGGGTCAGTTTGCATTTTAGCGGTTCTTTAGACGAGGGAATGAACTACCTGCTCTGTCTTGTCGCCTTCAGAGCTGATAAATACTGAACTGTTTGACGCTCATTATTTATTGGAATACTATAGTTCAGACGTAAAAACAATGTCTTGTGCTAAAATATCACCCCATGCAAGAGCAAATATAACCTTTATTCCTTATAGAGCGGAAAACTTTGTTGTCAATGTGATCCTTTTACTTTTCCCTCTAGCACGTTGGTGGACTCGTGGTCAACGTTGCAATATTTTAGCTCAAAATACTATAAGAAAATGGATAATTTAAACTAATACGAACACATCAGAGTGCCGAAGGTAATGGCCGGTGAAAAGATGACAAAGTAGATGAAGAGGATGCTTCCAAAAGCCACGCTGGCATTGCCATTCACAAAAGCATCCTTATAGTCACTGGCGTAGCGCTTAACTACGGCAACCAGTCCAAAGGCGAGATCACGAAGGGGTGGACACATTCGATGGAAACACCTGCCAGGCACTGTCTTTAGTTGATCCTTGAAGGCAACTGATTCAGAATCGTCCTCTGTAAATGTCAAAACATATCAGCTTAATGAGAAGGAGGCACGACAAAGTTTTGCACATGAAAATAGCCGAAAAGGAAAATGCAATTCGGCTTATAAAAGGGCATTTATGGTATTGGATGTTGCAAAGATGGTATACCGTACTCCCGACATAGCTAGAAGATAAATGCTCAGAAATTGTCTTTGTCAATATCTTTGCTACCGCCTTGCGCAAATGCGAATTGTGCGGCTACCCAAACCTCTCTATGCGGTTTCTGATGTATAAACTCCAGGGAATAATTAAGGGAGAAATTTCAGAAATAAGCGTACGATCTGGAGGTAGTTCATGTTACGTGCAAAATGTCTCTTCGTTAAAGCGTTTGCGAAGGAAATTGGCTTGCCTTCTAGCTGCTGAGTTTGGCAGTAATTGGTTCGAATTCATGGAGTCACAACTTCGTAAAAGTAGGATGCTTTCTGGAGACTGTTCGTTACAATCGGCATTGACGATCTGAATGTTTTGAATCAGAGAACATTGCACTGTATTTTCGTAGCTTCAGCCTTTTGCCTTGTAGTCTTAGCGAAAACACATCCCTCCGTATAATGACGAAGCCGTCAGAAGGTCATCAGAGATGGATTATACTCTCTAAACCCACTATAGGTATTAGCTGTTAAGCCTTTTCCAGCAGTTTCTTTTACCCATAGCAATAAATGTAATACGCCAAAGTAAAAAGGTTTCAACTTTTTTATAAAATGGAGAATTTCACATACCATCTAGCACCTCCACCTCTTCAAATGGATCGGATTCTTCGGATGCACTGCTCCTTCGCCCGCGGTCTATTTCCTCGCCCTGAAAAATCCAGTTACTAAGCTGTTGCTTGCATACAGCGTAAACTTCGTCCTTGCTGACCGCTTTTTCGCAGGCCTGGCGAAATTCCTGTAAGATGTAATCAGACAAAATTTGGAATTTACCTCAGTCAAATCACAAACTTCTATACACAAACATAGCTAAGCCTTCTTTTTTATAAAGGAAATACTGTCGGCTTATTTTAGATTTTGGGCTGCCGTTATACAACACTTATTTGATATTTGGTTTGGGCTGAATTAGGAAACTTGTGAAAGGCTCTGCTACGACACCCGTTGTTATATTCAGCCATGAGGGAGAACCAATTTTAAATATGTATGCATACATGCCTTTATCCTTAAATTTTTTGTACCTCACACAATACATTTATTATCAGTATGATTTTATGTGCCATTAACGTACGCGTAATTAGCACTGAACTTTCATAAAGTGCCAAGTACTTGGTCGATTTTCCTGTTTGAGTTCCGACTTGGCACTTTAAATCTCATACTGTATAAATAAATGAGAACGCCGCATAGATCGCCAAATATTAGCAATTTATAGGTTCTTTATTAAAACAACTTTGGCACCAGTTTTCGAAATATTCAGCTGCAACTGTGTGTTCAGTAGGTTTTTTTAAAATACGAATTGTCTCGTAGTTAATTATTTCGAAGAACGCAGGATGAAATGCAACCAAAATTTAAATGACTAAAATTTAACAGCTCGAAGAAAAAGGCATAAAGGCCGGTATCACTTACGTGGGAGTTTTCAAGAAAGTAGATGAAGACGTAGAAACGATTTTGGAAGAATGCATGTGCCACTGCTTCTTATTTCTAACCAGTTACAAGTTCAATTAGGTTTAATAGCTGTGTTAACCGTTGACTTTATTTTAATCTGCAAGCTGTTCCTTGTGGATGAATGGATGATACACAAAATTAAAAACACGCCGACCTTTGTGGTAAATGCATGATTCGGGAAACAAGTTAGGCTGACCAAGACATCAGGTGGTCATTGGGCCGAATGTTAAACCAGAAAGGCAAACTACAAGGGTAGTTACGAATTTGCACTTTATATCTTATTATGAGTTGTCTTTAAACTTCCAGTTTGCTTTAAACCTGTGGAGAGTCTGCAACAGAAAATCTGAACGTTAATACATAATAATATTTGGCATGCTGACTTCCAGATTTAATTATCCAAACATATCACAATATTTGTTCTATCATTGCTGTGGATGTATTACAAATTTGCACGATCCACCTTTTCTTAGTTTTCAGAGTGTAATGGCTCAAGACGTTCCTATTTATGACCTCACATCTGGGAAAGTAACTAAGCATTTTTCCATCAGCCAAGGTGCTTAAAAATATCCCATTTCCCTTGAGAAACAAATACCTTGCAGGCTGGAATGCCTAAGGTGCACAGTATCTATGCAAATTTAGACGTCAAAGCACACGTATAAATAACAAAGGCATTATAAAGAAGTGCACGCTTAGTATACCCTAGCATTCTGTGTCTTACTTTGTTTGCTAATAAAGTCCCGAATATGCGTCCATTTGTTACCGCATCTTTAGCAAATTCCGGCTTTGGTGTCATCGAAATGATGAGAAATTGTAGAGGGCGGGCAACTTCAACCAATTCGTCTGCATCTATTGGCGTTTTAAATCGCACAACTTCGAGGATAGGGCTTTCCAAATCAGGCGAACACCCGGTAAGGATACAGCACGATGTTGACGTAGGCGCTAGACACCTTGTCATGTCCTTGTTTATCGAGACCTACAGTGACAAGAGAGTATAGTAAAGAAATATCCAGGACATGTAAGGAATTAGAGTCATTACCAGAAGGAATAATTTCGTTATTATTCACTTTTCGAGGTTTGATTTTATAAATGGTAGTCGGTCAAGTTTTGGACGTCAAATCAGATTCCAACTTTAGCGTGTTACTACTTGGTGGCTGCCCTGAGTTAGAACATGTTAGAACTTTCATCAAGTGGCCATCTCATCAACACTCCCTCTAGACACACAAATATCAAAGTTTCTTAAATAAAAGCTACGGTTGTTTTTAAAATATATATTGCATCACATTCTCACTGTATCTTATCACATATCAAGAACGGTTTTTATGCGTTATATCCCTAGATATAGCATAGAAAGCATCTAGGGTTTACCGTTTCGAGATTGATGCTAACTATATGTCTATGATATTGTCCTTTTCTTACGTAAATATTTACTCGCCAATGGCTGTCAGTCCAGAAGTAAAAGGAGGTTCTTCCTGCTCAGTGTCAACACATACCTGCATGCAAATTATCTGGAGTACTTTTTGTTGAGCAATGCTTCTATTAGGCGGTACAGATCCAAATACGTTACTGCTGCCGTTGAGTATTTAAACAAATCTATATTTAGAGATTTAGTACTACTATTTGTCCTATTGAACTGCGCTGTATTTCTATGCTGGGTGCCTTAGTGATCCCAGTCCTCAGTATATATAATATTTATAAGTGATTCAACTGTCAAACAAACGTTTTAACCAAATCACTTACTTCCGAAATCCGGCTCCTGTCAACTGAAATTTTGAAAGATATTAGTAAGATTAATATCGGCAATTTAAGTAGTTAAAATAAAAATTTAAGGTCTTCCTTCATTATACGGCTAAGTTCAGTTTTAAAATGTTATAGAGATCTGTGGTGATTAATAATGTAGTCGCATATATTTGGTGTAAAGTAAGTGAAAGCGCAATCTCTAAGCTATTGGTTTTACGGTCTAAGGCCAGCATCAAAGACTGAATGAGTGAATCGCCGAGTAAACAGTTTTGCAGTCAAACGACCAGTGAAGGGATTGGTTAGCGACCCGGCTTTTGACGAGTTCACCTACCGCTGAGATCATTAAATTTTTTGAGCTGGGCAAGTTTCTACTTATTTGGTCTCGATTAAAGTTACTCGGTACGTTCGAATTCTTTTGTGTCCACATCACACAACGTTCGACGATGCAGTCTGAAGTATGACTAGATTTACTATTAGAACTATGCTATTGATATTTTCTCGGACAGTCATCTATACGTAAATGTTTTGACCCACAACATCAAGTCTTATCTGTCATTGTTGGTGTATGATCTCTAACTATGAGAATGGGATAACATCAGTCCACGGACGCATGCAGAGGGTAAATTTAACCGCTGTTAGTGACGATGTCTGAAGTTAACCACATCGAAGTGTTTGAAATTGAACTTGTACTTCAGGAGATAAAGTTTAGCACAAACGGATAAAAGAATTTTGAAATGTGGTTCCGTTTACAACTGCTAACCATTAAGGCATAGGCTCTACAAACCCTAGTCAAACGCAGCCTAATGAACACGATACGACGTGTGTTCATCAATCTGAACGTCAGAACGTTTAAAGGCATTTTAATCCCTTACGAAATCATTCTAGGGAGTTCATTCCATACGCGGTACTTTAACAGGTCAAGATGCAAGAAAAAACTGTTAATATTTAGAATTTTTTCAATTGCTCCAAGTAATAAAAGTTTGAAGGTTGCTTTTCTGAGGCTTTTCTTGTCTTCCTGTTCAAATCAAATGTATAACTTACCTGATAGTCTTCGATGCATTATGCTCTGGCTTGTTGCTTGTGGATGATAAAATGGAATGCGGTAACCACCACGCGTGTCACTCATTTGAACTTCGTCCGTCGTTGGACAAATCGGGGGCAAGCGATCAAATGCTTCCTCCACTGTGGCGTAGTCAGCCGCCTTGAAAACGAGTCCTGTAAAAAAGCAAATTGTGTAACATCGATTCTGCATTTCTGGTACATCACTAAGAATCAGCGTATATTACGCCTGGATTGGCAGACGTATACGAAAGTATGTTAAACAGAGGAATAGGTATATTGCATCTGGTACACTTCGGCGAGCAATGGTCTCCCTAGAACCAATGTAATGGAAAGCAGGTCAGTATGTTGGCTTGCTAGCTAAAACCTATTATTTAAGTAAAAAGACGTGAGCTACTAATGACGAGCAAGTTAGCGGTCAGTTAACGTACCGAACCGAAAGAGACCGCTGAATGTAGCGCTAAGAAGACGAATGCAATTCACCTGTTCGTGTGAGGGCCGAGTGTTACAGAAAACCCGCGCAAGTGGATGAGGAGGAAGACCCAGTTTATGAGGTTGTTTGCAGTGGCCGGTGAGGAAATTAATCGAAGTCTGATCGAATGTGTGCGCAGCAACGGAAGCTTAACTCTGCTGTTTGGCAAACGGGTTAGATTACGGCTCCGGGTAAGCAACTGTGGAGCGTGAGCCAAAGTAGAGCATACAAGTTGCAATTAAATGTCTACTTTCAATTTTTAAGTAGGCTACTACTAATTATATAAACCTATGTAAAGCCTTTCAATAGCGCGATTATTCACTTATCTTCAACTTCATTGTCGCAATGCTGGCATAATTGTTATTATTTTTTGTTATTAATGGCCCTCTGATATTGCAGCACTGGATTGTCCAGGGCGCTTTTCACAAACAGGTGACTAGAAAATGGAAGGCGAAACTGGTGGTAAAGCCATATGTGGTGGACATCGCCGGAGTCGACCGTCAAATATTTCGGCTTGAAATTACGCTACCACAGGAGAACAGCGGGCAGGGAAAGAGGAAGGGAGAAGGGGAGTGACTTGCATCAAAAATATGTTTTTTTTATATAGACAGATTTGTGTGCAAGTCAGTTGCAGACCTGTTTCGAGAGGCAATGGTGTAATTCACAGCTTACAATTATCGAACGATTAAAAGTTTAAAGAAATGTTAAATCGTAGAGTATGGGTCTTAAACTTAAATATGTGTCATTGCTCCGGTTCTCAAATAAACCCTGCTAAATTGGCTTAAAAAAACGGAATACGTTTAAGTGATAAAATCAATAGTCAGCTCCCCAGTTGATCAAATATCATAGGAAATACGTAGCGCTGGCATTAGTTGCCTGGTATTTTACCCATATCCCGTTATTTTACACTCATGACTCATAATTTTAGCGATTAGTGCCTCCCTGTGACGTTGTGTTCGCTGCTATTCCTGTCCAAGGCCGAAAAAATATCCTAGCTGGCACACATGCATTCAAGTTTTGACACAACGAAAAATCAAGGTCCTCATATATAAATTCGAAATGTGCCAAACCGTCATTAATTTGATTGTGCTGAAATTACCAGATGTTGATTTGATTATTATCTCATACCAAATATATGACAGTTACTATAGCCATGTTATTTTTGAAAAATACTTAAGGGATCCAATACAACTGTTAGTTGAATTGCGTTATTCTGTTCCCATCTGCATAAAATTCCTGACGTGAATTCCAACAATATTGCTTATTTTCCAAAAGGACTTTTTTTCTATTCATGCTCGTGAAATGCATCTCTCATGTTTGTTTTAGAGGAAACTATTAAACCTGCCTACATTACTGAATGTTTTATTAAAAGTAAAAGACGGTGGCTTGGTTCGGATGCCATATTGTGTTCATTGACTTTCCTATTTGCCAACTATAATCTGTTCGTCATCATCTTTCGTAAAAAAGAACATTTGAATGGAAGAATGCCTTCCTGGAATGGGGTATCGGGGGCACCTCGTGAAAAGTAACAAGCCATGTTTCCCAATATGAAATAGTCGCTTTTATTTTAAGAGCAGCAGCTTATTTATTTATTGCTAGGCAGATGAGGAGGAGTTTGCCAGAATCTAAAGTGCGGTTATCTTTTTCGAAATGCCCTGCCTCAGTTTATTCCACCGCAATAAGATTATATGGTTACTTTCACTGCAATTCATGTTGCACGACAATTACACACACTCCAGTATGCGCTCTCCGGTCTATAGACGGGTAGTTGAATAAAATATTTTCATTGGTTAAAATGCATCCTTTGTAAACATTTGTTGATGTTGATACTTGGTATAAATAGTAAGCAGAGAGACAGGATAGGCTACCGCGTTTGCTCTAAAGATACATATAATGAAACACCCCCGGGTCATCCACCTACAAAAGACCTTCAACTTTAAGGAAAATTATTTGCTGTAGATCTTTCCCTGGATGGTCTTTTTTTGTGCTACTGTAATCATTATAGACACGTTTCCCTCCTGGTACCATCAATAATTCTGGTACAGATCACCTAAAGAACAGCCCTCGCTTGCGTCTATTACTTCAACTGTCAGCCAGAAGGTAGTATTTATCAATAGTTGAAAAAAAAATGTCAACCTCACCTT